GTGGTGATGGAGATGGTAGTGGTGATGGAGGTGGTGGTGGTGATGGTGGAGGAGGTAGAGGTGGTAGTGATGGAGGTGGTGATGATGGAGGTGGTGGTGATGGAGATGGTAGTGGTGATGGAGGTGGTGGCGGTGATGGTGATGGAGATGGAGGTGATGGTGGTGTTGAAGGTGGTGGTGGAGATGGAAGTGGTAGTGATGGAGGTGGTGGTGATGGAGGTGGTGGTGGTGAAGGTTGTAGTGGTGGTGACTGAGGTGGTGATGGTGGTGGTGGTGACAGTGGCCACGGTGGTGTGCCGCAGGGTTAATTCTGACTCATAACAACCCCGTATCAGGTTTCTGAGGCTGTAAATCTTTACAGGAACAGAAAGCCTCATCTTTCCCCACAGAGAAACTGATGGATTTGAGCTGCTGACCTCGTGGTTAGCAGCCCAATTCATGACCCCTATGCTACTAGAGCTCTTTTGACTTATAGTAGTGTCCCCCCGATACTCTGCCCTCTGTCTCACATGGCCATCTTTCTTGGGTGTCTGTATATTTCCACATGCCCTTCTTCTTTTAAGCACACAGGAGTCATTGGCTTGGAGGCCACCCTAATTCAGATGACCCCATCTAAACTTGTGAGGCCCTGGAGAAAGTCTGAACCTCCACTTGTCTTCCCATTTGCCAGTTGAAATGATGAAGATGTCAATCTCTACCTCTAGAATAGTTGTAGGATTCCATAACTGGGCAGATGGGAGTGCCCTCAATGTCGTGCTTTTTGGAAAGACCGTATTTTCCACACAAATGACACATGTGTTGCATGTTTGTTTACCAATTGTGCCCTCCCCCATGAGTCATTTTTATAAGCATGCTATGCTAACTTTTTTTTACAGCAACATGTAAAGAAAAAAAAATATATGGGCACAGCATGTTTGTGTAGCACCCATGCGTTATTTGTATACAAAATACAACACTCCATTATGAAGGATGTTCTCCTTTCACAAATATGCGGACCATGAAACCTCTTTTATGAGCATGCTCTCATTCTCTATTTCATTACATTGCTCGAGTTTCAGCCTCCACCTCTTTCTCAGCTATGTTTCCTTCTGGGAAAAGAAGAAAAGTAGTAGGAATATTTGCTGCTGCACCATTTAAAAACATGTGCCGAAATTTGTACACCAAACCAAGGCATTATATTTATCCCCATGATGGTTTTGCTCTCTAAGAGATCAAAAAAGAAACGCACACCCCTGTCTCTCAGGAAAAATTTCCTAGTGATGAAAAGTGTACTTGGTTTTCCATTTTGGCTGTTGTTCTTGTTGGTGGTGTTAAGTGCCCTCCAGTCGGTCCCAACTCGTAGTGACCTTGAATTTGAACCGTCGACCTTGCAGTTCAGACTGACCTTTTGGTCCACTGCATAATTCTACAGCGCCATACCAGGAGTCCATTTTTGCCATAAAACTTACAAAACTCATTAGGTGAAATGTCTCTACTTACTTTTTAAAACTGCTGCGACCACATTAGACATGGACGTAGCTGGATTTGTCAGTACCCACTCGATAGTAATGTGTTAAAAAATCAACAACCACATAATCACACAGGCAACATTGATGTGTTTGTGTCCCACCCCACTCCACCCTCCTAAAATTATATTTCCCATTATTTCAGGGACTAGGTGGCTGAGCCACTGAACCATGTGGTGGCTTGAGTCTGTTTAATCATCATTCTTCCTGGTACAGTAATGAAGCCTGCAGATTCATCTTTTTGTAGATTAATGAATTGCAATTTCTCATTTCCTTCCCTCTCCCTCTGCTTCCTCCCCACATTTTTGTGGATGACGTTCTCACTCATTGGCAGCATGCTGACAGGCATTGGTTAATGGAGAGCCGTGCCAATCACAGCAAGGTGCAATATATCGCCAAGTGCTCATGGTTTGTTGTGTATGTGTTTTAGCTCCAACATGACGTAAGGCTCACTTTGTTCCCCAGGTGGCCACAACACAGCAGATCTTGTGAGAACATCACACACACGGCACTGTAAGGCATATAGGTCTGACAAGGGATAGTTCCAGTCAGAGTAAGAACACAAAAGAATGTGTCACTGTCCCCAGCCATGATGAAGCTTGTGAAGAGCTGAGCTATCTGGGTTAGGCGGCAGCTCAGGGAAGGTTCTCACAGAGCGTTCTCAGAAACATGGCACAGACAGATAGGACTGCAAACACAGCGCACAGCCCCAGCCTCCCACCGCTTTTCTGGTTTCTCTTCATCTTACCAATTCTTGGAATCCTAATGGTGCCATGGGAAAATAGTAGGCCCTATTTGTAGACACAAGAAGCCCTACTGGACTGTTAACCACAAGGTCAGCAGTTCAAACCCACCAGCTGCTCTGCAAAGAGAAAGACGATGCGCCCATAAAGATTTACAGCCTTGGAAACCCTATCCAGGCTCACTGTGAGTTGGAATGGAATTGATGGTAGAGTTTGGTTTGAGTTTATTTGTAAAGACAGGAGCCCTGGTGGTTCAGTGGTTAAAGTGCTTGGCTGCTAACTGAAAGTTTGGTAGTTTGAACTCACCATTCACGCCACAGGAGGAAGAAGTGACAACCGTGGAAACCCTATAGGGTCACCATGAATTGGGATTGACTCATTGGCAATGGGATTTGTATGTAAGAAAGTTTTTGTTAAGTACCGTCGAGTCAGCTCTGACTCATAGCGACCCTGTATAAAATTTCCAAGGAGCAGCTGGTGGGTTTGGACCACCAACCTTGGGGTTAGCAGTCCAGTGCTGATTCTACAGCACCATACCAGAACTCCTATCTAAGAGCATGGACTTGCAATGTACTGCCCACCCTTTCCAGATATGCGAGCCTATAATATGTTTCTTAGCTCACTTGTCTTACTTGTAGAATTGTGCTAGACTAAACAGTCCTGGTGTGGTGCTGTGGGTTAATGCACCAGACTGCAAAGTCATTTGAACTACAACGTTGATGGTTCGAGCTCACCAGTTGCTCCTTGGAAACCCTATACAGGGTCGCTATGGGTCGGGTCCAACTCGATGGTGCTTCACAACAACAACCTACTTCCACAAAGAATGCTGCTTGCACTCTAGGAAAAGCTCAGGACTGCTAACCACAAGGTTGACAGTTCAAATGTTCCAGCCGCTCTTCGAGACAACGATGAGGCTTCTACTCCCATAAAGATTGGCCGCCTTAGAAACCCTGTAAAAGTCGCTATGAGTTGAAGCCAACTCAACAATACTTAACAATAACAACCACCACCTACATCTACTGACTTTGTGGAGGAGATGAAATGACCCCATGGACAGGACAGGCCCCGATTTATGTTTAGCACTAACAAATGTTAACCATCATTGTCATCATTATTGTGTGCTATCGAGTTCACCCCAACTCACGGTGACCCCATGTACAAAGGAACAAAACATTGCTTGGTCCTACACCATCGCCTTGGTCAGTTGTGGGCTGGATAGTCTTGCATTATGGATAGTTAGTTTAATGACTAATAACAGAAACATTGTATAGAGCTATAGCATGTATTGGAGTCCTGGAGTGGCACTGCGGGTTAATGCACTGGACTGCAAGGTTGGTTTAAACCACAAGGTTGGTGGTTCAAGCTCACTAGCCACTCCTCAGAAACCTTATACAGGGTCACTATGGGTCAGAACCGACTCAACGGCACTTAACAACAACAATAATAGCATGTACAAAGGTACAAATCATTGTCCAGTCCCACACCATCACCTTGGTCAGCTGTGGGCTGGACAGTCTTCCATTATGGATAGTCAGTTTTATAAATTATGATAGAAACAAGCATAGTTAACACTATAGGGGAAATTTTAAATAAACATTTTAAATCCACAGGGTTTATTTATGTTTCTATTGTAAAATGGTGTGTTAAACTGAATTTAATAAAACATTTTAAAAATTGCTTCTCTGAAAAATACTTAGTTCAACAAGAAGTGCGAGGTACCCTTGTATGTGTCTGTCTGTCCTTCCCCATAACCTGTTCCAGTTGGCTCATTTCCGTCTCAGCCTCCCCCTCCCCGCCTCGCCCCTTATATTTGCTCTAACATAATACACACTTTACATACAAAGGGGCTTCAAAAGTTTGTGGGAAAATTCTATGATCTTTTCATCCCATTTTCCCATGAGCTTTTTGAAGCCCCCTTGTACTTGACAACTCTTGGTTCACAGAAGGTCTCCTGCGTCATATTCCTGGGCATGCTGGTCCCTCCAGTGCCGCTTCACGTATCGATTCAACTCCCGTCCGGTTGACTTGGCAGGTCTGAATGACTTCAGCTATCTTCACACAAACTGCTTCGAGCTGTCCATCTACGTGGGCTGTGACAAGTACCCGCATGAGAGCGAACTGCCAGAGGAGTGGGAGAACAACCGGGAGTCTCTGATTGTGTTCATGGAGCAGGTACGCCATGGGAGGAGGCTGCCATTGGGGCATCAGGTGGCTGGAAGCATGTGACTTAAAGGATCAGCCACCTGGGTCAACCCCAAACAGTGGAGAAGGGAGCCATTATTTGTTTTCACAACAACAAGACCAGCTGGAGGGAGTCAGGAGTAAATGGGGACCCTCCCACTGGTTCCAAGCAGGTGATGTAGCTGAGGGCTCTCGGATGCCCCCTGCAGGGTTGGGGTGAGAGCTGCTTCACTTAGTTGTTGTTAAGTACCGATCAAGGTGGTTCCAACACACTGTGAAACACTCATAGTGTTTCCGAGGAACAGTTGGTGGGCTTGAACCTCGGACTTTGCGGCTTGCAGTCCAGTGCTTATCTTTCAGTGCCACACCAGGAATTCACTCAGTACTAGTGGTAAAAAAAAAAAAAAAAACACCCCCAGACCCCTCCTAAGTCTCAGCTGTGGGTGTGGAGTGAGTCTTTGGGAGCAGTTCGGATGGTGTCCGAGGACCCCCTGCTGTACCGGGTGGGACCCTGCGGCATTCCCATAGACCTCCTTAGCACTTGAGTTCACATCCAGCCAGAGACCCCATGATTACATAGGCTCCAGTTGAGTTTCTGGGAGTCCTGACGTGGCACTGTAGGATAAGCACTGGACTATTAACCACAAGGGTCAACATGAGTTGGAATCCTTGATGGCAGTGGGTGGGTTTGGGATACCATCTTAAGAAGACCTGGTAACTAAGTGCTTAGCTGCAAACCCCAGAGGTCTGAAGTTCAAACCCCTAGCAGCCATGGGAGGGAGACATGGCAACTGCTTCCAAATAGATGGTAGCCTTAGAAACGCTGTGGGCACTCTCATAGGGTCACTATGAGTCACGATCAACAGTGCATTTAATTTGGTGATTGGTGTTGTTGAGTGCCTCCGAGGCGACCCTGTATAGGGTTTCTGAGGAGTGGCTGGTGAGCCTGAACCGCCGACCTTGTGGTTCAACCTGACATTGCTGTCCAGTGCCATCCACACCATTTGGTATATATATATATA